TCCCATATGAATTGGTATAGCGTGTTATCATTTTCATTTGTCTCCAGGTATTTTTTGATTTCTTCTTTAATTTCTTCAATGATCCATTGCTTGTTCAGTAGTGTATTGTTTAGTTTCCACATCCTTGTGCCTTTCTCAGCCTTTTCCTTGTAATTAATTTCTAGCCTTATAGCATTATGATCAGAGAAGATGCTCGTTATTATTTCAATTTTTTTAAATTTGTAGAGGCTTGCCTTATTTCCCAACCTATGGTCTATCCTTGAGAATGTTCCATGCGCACTTGAGAAGAATGTGTATTCTGCTGTTTTTGGATGGAGTGTTCTATATACGTCTATTAAGTCCAACTGTTTTAGCTTTTCGTTTAGCTCCACTGTTTCCCTGTTGATTTTCTGTCTGGATGATCTGTCCATTGATGTGAGTGGGGTGTTGAGGTCCCCTACTATTATTGTGTTATTTTTGATATCTTCTTTTAGGTTTGTTAATAGTTGCCTTATGAACTTTGGTGCTCCTGTGTTGGGTGTATAGATATTTATAAGCATTATTTCTTCTTGATGAAGTGTCCCTTTGATCATTATGTATTGGCCCTCTGTGTCTCTCTTTACCTGCCTTATCTCGAAGTCTGTTTTGTCTGATATAAGCATTGCGACACCTGCTTTCTTTTGTTTGCTATTAGCTTGGAGTATTGTCCTCCACCCCTTCACTCTGAGCCTGTGTTTGTCCTTGGGGCTGAGGCGTGTTTCCTGGAGGCAACAAATTGTTGGATCTTGTTCTTTAATCCATCTTGCCACTCTGTGTCTTTTTATTGGAGAGTTCAGTCCGTTTATGTTGAGGGTGAGTGTTGATGCATGAGGGCTTAATGCTGTCATTCTGCCGCTCGTTATCCGGTTTTCCTGTGTTTCCTTTGTTTCTTGTCCTGTGTGTTTTAGCCTACCCATTGACTTCTGCAGTTTCTTATGCTGGGTTTCTTAGATTTTTCCTTATTTATGCTTTGTGTCTCTGTTCTGCTTTTTAGTTTAGTGGCTACCCTGAAGTTTGTATTCAGAATCTCATGTATAACAGTCCATTTTCTGGTGGTCTCTTACTTCCTTAGCCTAGATTGTTTCAGTCCCTTTCCTCCTCCCCTCCTAAATTATTATTTTCATCTCGTATTCCAACTTGTGTTGTGAGTTTGTGCTTAGGGTGATAAGACTGACTTTGCTTTGGTGATTTCCTTCCCTTTATCCTAATGCTATAGTTGAATATTTGCTATCCTATTCAGATTCTATGTATTTGTCTCCTTACTCTGTGTTTTGTGACCCCTTTCTCCTTTATTTTTCTTTTTTCAGGTATGAGAGCCTTCTTGAGGATTTCTTGTAGTGAAGGTCCTGTGACTACGAAGTCCCTTAGCTTTTGTTTGTCTGGAAAAGATTTAATTTCTCCCTCATATCTGAAGGATATTTTTCCTGGATAAAGTATTCTTGGCTGAAGATTTTTATCCTTTAAAGTTTTGAATATGTCACTCCAGTCTCTCCTAGCTTGTAAGGTTTCTGTAGAGAAAACCAATGAAAGTCTGATAGGGGTTCCTTTGTAGGTTATCTTCTTCTGCCTTGCTACCCTGAGTATTCTTTCTTTGTCCTTCATTTTTGCCATGTTTACTACTATGTGCCTTGCAGTAGGTCTTTTTACATTGACAAATCTAGGAGATCTGAAAGTTTCCTCCACACGCATTTCTCTCTCAATCCCTAGATTTGGGAAGTTCTCTTCTCTTATTTCGTTGAGCACACTTTCTGCTCCATTTTCCTTTACCATGCCCTCAGGAATTCTGATGATTCTTAAGTTGCATTTTCTCATTGAGTCAGCTATTTCTCTGAGCTTTTCTTCAGTTTTTTAAATTCTTAGTTCTCTTTCTTCCTCTGTCTCGAGCCATTCAGCCTGTCTTTGATTATGCTAGTTTGCTCCTCTATGGTGTCTACACGGGCATTCAGGGAATCTGTATTCTGTTTTATCTGGTTCATTGTATTTTCATCTCTAGTATTTCTAATTGATTCTTCTTTATAATTTCAATCTCTTTTGTGAAGTAACTCCAGAACTCCTTGACTTGTTTCTCTATATTTCCCTTTACCTCATTGAATATTTTGAGGATAGCTATTTTGAATTCCTCTTCACTTACTTTACCCATTTCCAAGCCCTCAGGACATAATTCTGTGTTTTTATTGTTTTCCTTTTGGACTGGAGCTTTTATAAATTGCTGGATGGTAGAGGAGAGGTTTTTGTGCATGATGCTGTTATTTGGTTGCAGGTACAGCCTGTCGCCACTAGATGGGGGTCGAGAGCCTTGGTTCTGAGCCCTGCGCCTTCAGCCACGATGGTGGCGCCCAGCTTGGGTTGAGGGAGGAGGGACACTTTCTCTCATGCCGACCTGGATTGGCACAGCTCTCGCTCTCTGGTCTCCCAGGGCCCTGGCTTGCTGGGGTTCCCCCACGCGAAAGCTGTCCCCTGTTAGAGGGTTTCCGCTGCTCCAGCGGTGGGAGTCCTGCACGATCTCCCAACGCACGGCCCCTCCCCTGCTCCTTCTCACACCCACGGCAGCGATCCCAGTCTCTAGGGGAGGGAGCGAAGACCCCGTTCCAGCTCCTCCGAGGGCGGCTCCAGCCTCTCCACCTTCTGTCATTTGGCTGCTGTGGGTCTCTGAGGATTTCTGTTATTGGGATTTTTTTTTTTTTTGGTTGGAAAGCAGTTGCTCTTTTTAGTTGTAATTTGGAGGGGAGAGAGTCCTGGGTGAGCTCACGCCGCCATGTTGCTGACGTCACCCCTATTCCTAGATATTTTATTCTCTTTGTTGCGATTGTAAATGGGATTCTATTCTTGAGTTCTTGGTCTCTTAGTTTGTTATTAGAGTATAGAAATGCAACTGATTTTTCTAAGTAGACTTTGTATCCTGCAACTTTGCTGTAGATGTTTATTTCTAATAGTTTTCCCATGGCTTCTTTAGGGTTTTCTCTATATAAAATCATGTCGTCTGCAAACAGTGAGAGTTACACTTCTTCACTGCCAATTTGGATTCCTTTTCTTTCTTTTTCTTGCCTAATTGCTCTGGCCCAAACCTCCAGTACTGTGTTCAGTCAGAATGGTGGGAATGGGCTCCCTTGTCTTGTTCCTGTTCTCAGGGGGATGGCACTCAGTTTTTCCCCGTTGAATATGATGCTGGCTGTGGGTTAGTGATTTCCTATTTTTAAAAATATTAGGAAATTTGTTAAGTGGAGAAAACTAGTCTGGCATCATTACAGAGGAGGGAGGGTTGGAAATGAGTGCTTTTAAGACCCTCCTCTCATGGCCTGGTGGTTAAAGTTTGGCCCCCACCACTCAGCGGCCCAGGTTCACTTCCTGGTCGCAGCACCACACCACCTGTCTGTCTGCTGCCGTCCTGTGGGGGCAGCTCGTGTAGAAGAACTAGAATGACTTACAACCAGGACGTACAACCATGCCCTGCGGCTTTGGGAGGAAGGACAATCCTCCTTTGAAGCCAGAGCACTTGTGCCTGTTTTCTTGTGCTTACGTCAGTCTGCGTGAACCGTCTCAAGGGGAACACTTCTCCTGTGACTTGTTCTGACTTGTGTACTCCTTCACTCAGCAATGCCACTCCGTGCCACACTGCTGGATAACAGCAGGGCAAAGACAGACAGGACTCTGCTGTCGGCTCACTTCACTCCAGTGTGGCGATTCTGCTCTAGCCATTTATCAGAGGGCTTCAGGAGCGCAGACGGAGCCCTGTGGCTCTGCCTCCAGGGCTCAGGGGGCAGCACAGAGGCGCTGGTTCAGCTGGGCCTTGGAGGTGGAGGAGGAGCTCCTTAGCAGGGGACGATGGCAGAGGCGGTTCAGTGAGAGCGCAGGTGGGGAGATGCAATGGGAGCCTCTCACCCGGCATGCCTCGTAAGCATCGACTACAATAGTCTGCTTTTAAGTAAGACGTTAACGATTAAGCTCAAAGTAAAATCTCCCAGAATTTTCAGAATAAAGAAATCACTAACAACAGTAATAATAGGTAAGACTTAAGAACTCGAAGCACTTTCAGAGGTTAATTATTTAATCCTTCCCACAACCCCGTGCGTGTGAGTGCTGTCTTCTTCCCCAGGTTTTACAAAGAAAGAAACTAAAGACAAAACTGGTTGAGGTCACAGCCCGTTTAAAGGATAGTCTGGTCATGATTGAGCTAACGTGAATCACAAGAAAAACCATAAGCCAACTTTTATACTATATATATATATATACACACTTTATACTATATATGTAGTGCGTATATTTTGTATTATATATATAGTGTGTGTGTGTGTGTGTATAGTATAAAAGGGCATTGGAAATAAAATGTGTAAATCAGTTTTGTCTGTTTTCTGTATCTGTTTTAAATCTTTTTATAGTTGACAAAAGTTGTCTTTGGAAGTGATTGGTGAGCATCCGGAGATATTTTCATGGAGTGGCTATTTTTAGATCTCTACTAGAGTGAATTTAATAATGTATCACTTCGTGTGGTGTAAGATCTTCCCCCAGTCTCTAATATGCTGGAGAGTATCTTTAAGTTTCTCTCTTTTTAAAATGAGACAACCAAAAAGGCTTCAAGGAAACGAGCTTCAAGATTACAAATGAGAGATTTGTGTTGAATCGAGCAGGGCGCCAACTCCTTCTCTGACGAAAAGAAAGTGTTTCAGAAACTCGGAAGGCCGTAGAGGAAGCGCGCTCGTGCCTGGTGGGCATTCAGCTTCTTCTCTGTCCTTCTGGTTTCTGACCCTGGATCCTCCTCATTTTCTGTTCTCTAGAAAATAAATGTCCGTAAGAACTTCATTGCTCTTGGGTTCTTTGGCAGCATGAGTTCTAGTGGGACAGGTTCCCTTCGATGGAGGAGTGCCGAGGCATGACCTCTAAATGCAGCAGCGGTTGCCTGCCCACCTTCTGTGTGCTGTTACAGGTGTGCATGATGAAGACAGCTTTGTGCAGACGCCGTTCTAATTGTTTCTGTTCACCTGTAGACGTGCTTGTGTGGAGCAACGATCGAGTGATTCGCTGGATCCTCTCAATTGGTCTTAAAGAATATGCAAACAATCTGGTCGAGAGTGGCGTTCACGGTGCACTTGTGGCCTTAGATGAAACCTTCGATTTCAGCGCACTGGCGCTCTTGTTACAGATCCCTACGCAGAACACACAGGTATGCTGCAGAGCCGGCCCGGCTCTCACTCACGTTCAGTCAGGTCTCCTGATGGAGACGTCTAGCTGGTTAACTGAGTGGACACAAAACTTCACAGTACCTCAGACAACTATCCCTAAGCTACAAAATACTGGTTCCAAACCAGCAATGCTTAATTCTTCATTATTTTTGCCTGTCCTTCCATTTCCTGTCGCCAGCATGAGAATCTTGCAATAAAAAAAACAAGGGGAAACTTAGTTCAAGTCCATATGCTCGTAGGAGTGACGACATGTATTTAGTTCTTACGTGGAATGAGAAATACTCATGGGTACACCGATGGAGATTCTGTTAATTTTGTTTCTATTGCCCTGTGTGATTCTTTTTGACACACGGGCTCACCTGAGAAATCAGGAAATTTATTCTTCTACAGAAGATTGTATGTCTTTTGCCAATACCCCCCATCCCCCGACCAGCACCAACCCGCAGAGCACACTTTCGTAGATAGTCTGCCAGCGGTCATGGGTCCCTTTCCCTGAAAGCCCATCCGTGGGCTCCGCAGGAATCCCCTAATTTAAAATGTGGTTGTGGGGGCCAGCCCAGTGGTGCAGCGGTTAAGTGCGCACGTTCTGCTTTTCGGCAGCCCGGGGTTTGCCGGTTCGGATCCCGGGTGCAGACGTGGAACCACTTGGCAAGCCATGCTGTGGCAGCGTCCCACATATAAAATAGAGGAAGGTGGGCATGGATTTTAGCTCAGGGCCAGTCTTCCTCAGCAAAAAAGAGGAGAATTGGCAGCTGATGTTAGCTCAGTGCTAATCTTCCTCAAATAAATTAATTTAATTAAATTAATTAATTTAATTAAATTAAATGCTGTCGTGGCTCAAGGTGTTTATAGCCTGAGCTTTTTAAAAGTCTTGATTTGAAAAACAGTTGTGATATGCTAACATCCTTCAGATTAGATTGATGAAGCTTTGCGGTATTGTTGTTTTGTTATGATTTCAGGCTCGCGCTGTCTTGGAAAGAGAATTTAACAACCTTTTGGTCATGGGGACGGACAGAAGGTTTGATGAAGTGAGTTTTCAGCCTAATGAATTTTAAATTTGCATTCAGTGTGAATTATTTGTTTATACGCACGTGAGCCCCGTCGGCAGTCTCTCTTCTAAGTGTGGGGATGATTTTACCTCCTGAGCTAAGCTTTGCTCTCAAAAATGTGTTAACAAATGAGATAGTAAGAAACTCATATTTTCAGTCTGAGGTTTTCTGTTTTTAAAATATTTGCTATTTAAGTTTTGATAGCCCTCAAAAATGTTGTTCCCATCAACATTGGTGGCAGCCGAGGCATGGTGTCCGTGGGCTATGTTTGGGGACCGCTGGATGTCTGACCCCAATCCAGAGTCCCTGTGCTTTGGAGAAACCTGTTAGAAGGAGATTAGAGAAACGCAACATGTTAATTTCCCCTCACACAGTCGTGACTTGTTTGTTCCCACACTGTTTTTATTCTTTCCTTTGTTGCACGTTAAGAAAACGTGAGTTTGCCTGGTGACTAGGAGGACAGCTAAAGGAGCGCTCGCTGGCTCTTCCCCGGCTCTAAGGCAGAACTGCTTACAGCTTGGAAACTATTTTAAGACAAATAAAAATGTATTATCTTATACGGCAAGAAGATGATTTCTCCAAGATAAGAAAGGAAATGGGGTGATCACTAGGAGGCACATGCACCTGGGCGGCCCAGGGCCGTCCTCATCGATGCCCAGCGAGGGCCCCACATAGTGTTACTGGGCCCGTCACTCTCAGAAGTTCCCGGTGGGGACAGTAGATCCTGTGGTTATCAGGAACGGGTTAAAGAGGTGTGAACAAACATGCAGTGACAAGTTCAGCAGTCATGTTCAAGGCTGGTAACTTGACTGTCTATTTTTGTCCTTTATTTTAAAATCAGTCTTGTTTTCTGTCCTTTAATTTCCCAGGACGATGATAAAAGCTTTAGGAGAGCACCTTCTTGGAGAAAAAAATTTAGACCAAAGGATGTTCGTGGCTTAGCTGCTGGGTCCGCAGAGACTCTCCCCGCCAACTTCCGGGTCACCTCCTCTCTGTCCTCACCCTCCATGCAGCCGAAGAAGACGCAGCTGGACGGTAGGTGTGCAGGGGCGGCCAGCCGCTGTGGGCGGCAAGAGCAGCTTTGTGGCTGGAATGTTAACAGTGATCCAGAATGGCCTCTTGGATGTGTTACAAGGCATTGAGTACTGGTGCATGCCCAGGTTAAGTGTTTTAAAATGAATCCTAACATCTGTGCATAACAGTTTAACAATAATGTAGGTTTTTTAGAGTCTTGTCTGGTTGAATCTTAGCATATCCTTCCAACTAATAAAGCTGAGCGTCGCGTGTGTTCTCGGCGTGCTGAGTGGACGTCCTGTAGCCTGTGTGTGTGGCAGGCAGCCCTGGAAGGCTCCGCCGGAAGGTGGTGCAGCAGCTCTCGGGCCACGCCGGGTGCTCCCGGGACGTCTCTCCCCCTGGAGAGGTGACTGAGTCCATCTTAGAGAACACAGTTTCCCCCTCTGTGAGCCTTCCCTTTCCTCCCTCCACCCCTGCTGGCGTTGGTCCCTGTCACTGCGCACCATAAGGACGGAGAGGAGGAAGAAGGTGAGCCTGGGCAGGTCGTCACTGGAGCGCGGTGGGCCCTGGGAGCGCACGAGCCTTGCAGTCAGGGTTCCAGATGGAGCTTGCGGTTTTCCCTTTGACCGCCGCTCCGCTTGGAGGACACGGCTGATGACAAGTTGGCTGTGCTTTACTGACAGACCTCTCAGCTCTGACCGCGGCCCCCACGATGACAGGATCAAGGGCAGATGGCCTCGGTGGACCCTGGCTCTGCCGCTGAGGAGGGGCACAGCCTCGAGCACTGTGCCTCAGTCTCCCCGTCTGTAGGGCCGTCGTCGTACAGCCGTGTCCTCTTCAGCGGCTGTGGCAGTGAAATGGCTGCTCCTCGTCAGGCTCGTAGGAGGCGTCTGCGGGTCCTGGTCCCGTGTGGTGCTGGCCACTGGGGCCATTGTAGCCGCACTCCCGTTACGAAGGACTTCGTTCTCGTCTCTGTGGCCGATGGATCGGCTATAGGAAAGGAAGCGCTTTTAAAAATTGTCCTGAGGTGGCTTTCACAAGTTTCCCTGTTCTTAGCCCTTCCCATACGTAGGTTTGTGAGTTTGGCTCTGACTTGCCTGTATCAAAATGAGAGAAAAGCGTGTGTGTGTAAAGCCTTCGCTCAGCCGGACGCTTGGTGAGATGGCCCCCAGGGCAGCACTGCTGCTGGAAGCCTGCATCTCTCTGCAGAGCTCAGTGATCTGGTTAATGGGGCAAGAGCAGCAGTGTCTTCAGTAGCATTCTTATTCCAAGGAGCATGAGGTAATTTGTATAACTCTAACGGTAACTCGGCCCTCCACTTATTGAATAGGCTGCCGGAGCGCCTTCTGATTTTCTTCACAGCTTCGTGCCCAGTTTCCTCAGAATCAGTCACACTTCCCGTGTTCAGTATTGACGGCGACATTTAGATTAGAGTTCAGATAAATTAAAAATAAGCCTAGAGTGAGGTGTAGGGAATATATTATATGGAAGACGGCTGTTGACCCTTGTAGGAAAACTGAGGCCGAACCCCGGGAGAGTGGACTGCTCAATGCCTTCTTAAATAAGGGGCGTCGGGGAAGCTGCAGCTGGCCTCCTGGGACCTCAGGGTCAGGATTTGGAAAGATGACCCATGCTCACCGACAGTGCCAGCTGTCGTGCCATCTCTTCTGGAACCACGGCACCTTCTTGATAAAACGTGTTCCTGCTGGACCCGTGGGAACACAAACTGTGTAATTGGCAGTCGGGAATATCTGCTCCAGGTGTTTGCACATTTCCTGTCCAGGTTGCAAGGGAGAGTCGGGGCTCACCTCTTGGGCCGTGCTGTGTGTTTCTCGACAGGAACAAGGCCTCAGTGGTACACATCACTTCCGGCAGAAACTGAGACTGGGTTTTAGTGTTCTTAGATGAGTCATTGTCCTCTACCCACCCCCTGCAGCCAGGCCCTGGGGAGGAGTGCCCTGGACGCTCCCTCAGACAGGCGCGGAGGGCAGGTGGCCCGAGGGCGCGTCTCCCTCAGGCCAGGCCTGCATATGACTCCGGTCACCTGCACCCCATGGTGTCTAGCGCTGCCCCGGGTTATCTACCTCACACCGGCCTTGGGGATATCACGTTTAGGCCCCGAAGAAAAGTCTAGTTGCTCTGCAAATCTAGAGAGTTTCAGGAGAAACAAAGTTACCAGCTGAAGTAGTTGTCACTTACACAGAGGACATCACGAAGTCTGTATCATCTGAGGCGTCCTTGCTGTCGTGAGATTAGCTGCCAGTGGCTCCCAGGGCTGCTGGGGGCTGAAGAGAACCCCCTCCTGGCGACGCTTAGGTTCTCTTTCCCTGGCTCGCCCGCTCCCATCTAGCAGTTTCCCTGGGAGCCCTCAGTAGGTGGTGTTGTAGGTGTGCAGATGTGTGTGTACATGTGCCCCGTGTGACGTCTGAAGACTAACCGCACGCTGTGTTTGCACGCTTCCTCCCCGGTGTCGGAGCAGGCAGCGTGTCGGGAGCGCAGAGGCTGGACGCCGCCACGGTCAGGACTTACTCCTGCTGAAGCCCCGTGGTGAGTAGAGGGCTCCGCGTGCCCGGAGGCCGCAGAGGCGGCCGGGTGACCGCACGGGGGCGCTGCCTGGCCCGGAGAGCCCGTTTCCGTTCCTGCAGGCCTTTAGGAACACGCACGCAAGCCCGGCTGCACCCGTTACGTGGTTCTGGTGTTCTGTATGCTCACAGTTGGTCACAGAGGGGTTCGTGTATCCTCATTTGTTAAGGAAAAAAGTGTATTTGCATTTTTTCCTTAAAACTGAACGTGCTGGACTCTTTTCAGTATCTGCTAATGTCTTTTGGGGGTGGGGAGGCAGGAGAGCAGCGCGTGGCAGGAGCTCACCGGCTCAGCTCTTGGCTGGAGACCACCCGTGGTTGAGAGCGCCCGGCACGGCGGCTCTCCGCCTTGACCCTGGCATCCGCGCTGGTGTCGCTCCCAGGTCAGCGGCACCCGCTGGCTTTCTTAGAAATACACGTTCTTGAATGAGCCGCACCCCGCACGGCCAGGTTTCCTGGGGCCACGCTGTCGTGAACCCTGAGGGCCTGGCGGGTGGTTTTAAACACACAGCTGCGTTGCCATCTCAGGGGTGCAGTTACGAGCAGCCCGCTCGCGCTGAAGGGGTGACGTGGGGCTGGGAGCCCAGCCCCTGCTCGTGGCGCCAGGGCCGGGGGCTCTGTTCCGCTCTCCACTTTTCATGTCTCCGCCAGAAGGTTTGATTGGTTTCCTAATCTTTTTAATTGGTAACTTTTAGACATACGCCAAAAGGAAGTCAGCAAGGAATTTTCTCATTGATACGCGTACTCCTTGACGTTTCATCTCAGTTCTCAAGCAGCTACAGCGCAAGGGGCAGGGAGGCAGGGCTGGCCCTCGGGACACAGGTGTGCGCCGGGCGGCCTGTCCTGAGGCTGATTGTCCTGTTTGCGCTTCCTTTCCAGTTTACCCACACTACTTCTACAGATGACCGTGCAGCGCTCGGGCCCCGGCGAAGACGGCCTTTCAGAATTCAGTGGATCTGCAATCTGTTGATACTTGTTATATGGACCCTAAGATATTTTATTACAGAGTTTTTAATTAGTGAAAAATTCACGAATACCATAGAGAAAATATTTTAGAATTTAATGTTTCTTATATTTATGTAAACATATGACTTCGTTTATATAGTTACTTACTTTTTCATATCCAGGCTATAAATATCCTTTCAAATCGATTCTGTTCTTATATCTAATTTTAGTCTTTCAAACAAATGTACTGTAATGCTTGTATGTATAAATCCTATGAAAAGATATAGGGCTTTTGTAAATTATGCATTTATTGTAATTATCATTAATTTTTTAATAATAATCGGCGAGAGAGAAGAGGATTTTACTGCATTTGCATTTGTAAGATCATCATGACATGGTGCGCGTTATCCTGACAAATGTAACCAGCTCTACAACAATCATTTTGAAACAAGCAGACTTAATTTCAAGCAATTGTGTTTTAATGACTGACCTTACTCTACTTTTTCTAGCAAGAAATGCTTTATTCTGCAGCGTGAACAGACTGAAAGTACCTGGCGTTAAATATGAGCTTCTGATAAAATTTGGGCTGAAGGGGCCGTCAGAACTGTGAGCATCTCTGGTGGCTCTCAGTAGCTTGCAGAGCTCGTCCCTGGGGACCCGCACGGCTTGTCCTCAGCGCCCGGCACGAGCCCCAGCCGGGAGCACTTCTCTCGGCCGCAGGAAGGGCTGGGGGGCTCTCTGGGCTCTACCCCTACGGGCGGACGCGGGCCCCCGCCCCGCTGCTCTTTGAGGACCAAGCAGGAAGCACCGCGCTCTGCAGGGACGCTGGTGCGGGAAGAGGAAGGCGGGGGCTCCCGGAAACCAGGAAACCACGCAGTGCGACTCTACTAAAGGCCTTATTTTTTCTTATGTAAATCATCCTTTTACATTTGTTTGTAAACATGCTGAAAGGAGGGACCTAGTGGTACATTTTTAGCTTTTGACGATATAGCCGTTTTGGACTGTCTAAGTAGCAGATGTAACTTTTCCTTTTTAAATGGCACATTAAAGAGCCAGCAGGAAATGTGTTCCGACCACGGTGCGTTATTTATTATACAGCTCATTTTGTCGGTGGACGGCGTGTCTCTTTACATTCGGTTTCTGCTTTTAACTTCCTTGTACGATTTGTTGTTACACTCTGTTTTCTGTTAATCTTTTGTGAACTTCCTGATTATGTAACAAAGTATGTACAGTCTCCTTTTGAACTATTTTTATCACAGTATTATTTATTGCTTTCTTTCAATAAAGTACTGAGGCGTTTTCCACTGCCAATAAAGGATACTGAGAATAAGCTGTCATTCTGTGACAAATCGGCCGCAGCTGGCTCATCTCCGGCTCCAGGCTGATTCAGTGGCGGCAGCGTCGTCGAGTGGACTTTCTTGGGTAGAAATCAGTTGACAGAATGAAAAAGCTGGGGATGGAAGCACAGGATGGGGGCGTCCCCGCCAGGAAGCCCAGGTGCTTCCCGCCTCGGCCGCCGAGGCCCAGACCCTCTCTCACTGAGACCTGGGGGACCAGGCCCGGGCAGCCTGGCGCTCAGAGGCACCGCAGGCCACAGGGAGGCGCGGAGGCGCGTCAGTCCATGCGCGCACTGGGGCCCTGCTCTCCTGCTGCTCCCGCCCTGGGCTGTGTCCTTCCGGTTCCCAGGGAGCCTGGTCTCGGAGCGCTCAGACGGAGTCCTGAGTCATGAACTAGTCTGGCGCGAGAGGGGAGGGACGCGCCGACAGGCCCGGGCAGGCAGGCAGGCAGGACGCGCCCGGCTGCAGGGCGGCAAGGCGCGGCACTCGTGGCTGGCAGCGCCAGGCCCAGGGCACCCGATGCCTCAGCCCCTACGTGCTGTCGCCCGCCCTCCCCCCACCGCAGTATCGTCATCAGGTCTGGGGGTGCACGATACCCAGGCCGACCCCATGCCTCGCACTGTGTTGGGTGGGCGCTGCTGACTGTCGCCTCGGTTTTCCTTTTCCTGTTCTGCTGTCCTTCCAGGGCTGACGGCCGCCTCTCCTGAGTGACGTGTTTTCTTTATTCGGGTGAATACATTCCAGCTGGTGTCCGTCAGGGCACAGCGATCCGGTGGTTTCGTGTTCTCTTGAGAGCCTGTGCTGGCTGGTTTTCCAGTTTTGTTGGGGGCAGCCTTTTCTCGGCATTTCCTCGTTCTTGGGTTCACTTAAGCGTGAGACTCAAAACCACATAGCGCTTCCCTGCTTTTTCACCCACCAATCCGTTTGCCTGACCAAAGCCGGGCAACCCTTGGGCAGCCTGAAACTTCTGGAAGCAGACCAGGTCATCATTGACTCTTTAAGTTGCAGGTGTTTGATTAAAACTTCATTCGGTGGTTCCGTTTATGCCTTTAACAAAAGGTCAGCTCAGAAGGACCCAGAGAGCACAGGCGGTGTTGGAGTAGCTCTGCTGTGCTAGGCGCGCTCTCAGGCGCGCCTCCCGGGTCTGCTCGCCCCACACGCAGTGTCCCAGGGCTTGCCCGCAGTCGGCGGGGATGGGAGTCATTCGCGGGCCAGGTGTGGCCACACCAAAGACTCTCTGGACCCTTCCCACCGCTAGAACTCTGTCGAGCCTCCTTTAGCCTCATAATTGCTGCCCTTAAGTTTCTCTTTTCAAGTCTCACATCACGCATTTTAAGGTAATTGTGGGTTTGGGGTTTTCTTTGCTCTTTTGCTGGCTAAGTCCTGTGCTCATGGGGATGGGCTCCCCAGGGTCTGGGGAGGAGCGTGTCTCCCCTGTATCTCCGGCAGGTGGATAGCGAGGGGGGCGTCCGGGTTCTGTGGCTGCTTTCTTAACCGCTGACGTGTCATCGAGTGCATTCCCAAATAGCTCAGAGGCTTCTGTTTCTGACATTTCCTTAGCTTAACTCCTCGGTGAGGAGGAGTAAGTAGCCAGTGGTTTTGCGACCGCGTGTCCTTGACTCAGTGGGGCACCTTTTGAGTCCTGTTGTTTGAGGCCAGCACTGTGTGCGCCCCTCCACCTGGCACACGCCGAGGGCACACCCAGTGCAGGGAGGAGCAGGGCCGGTTCCTTCGGGAGGCTGGCGTGGAGGATCCATCCTTTGCCTCTTCCCGCTTTCAATGCTTGTTGGCCTCCTCGGCTGTGAGCCGGGTCTCCCGTCTCTGCCTCTGTCTTCACGTGGCCCCACCCTGTGTCTTATCTTCTCTCTCTTACGAGGACACTTGTCACTGGCCCACCTAGGTCATCCGGGATGGTCTCACCTCAAGACGCTTCACTTAGTTACACCTACAAAGACCCCTTTCCCAAATAAACTCACGTTCACAGGATCCTGCGATTTGCACACAGACACATCCTTGTGGGGCCCCCGTTCACCCCATTCCACCTTTCGACATTCTGGAGAAGAGCTGCCCTGCCCGGGAGATACCCAGATGGATAGACCTGGCCCTACCCCAAGGGACCCACCCCCCAGTGGGAGCATGGTGAGCCAAGAGAGGGAGCCGTGACGCCCGGGCTCCTACATAACACGCGCTTAATGTGGCCTCTCGATTCCTCCAGTGTGGACTTTGCATCTTGGCATCTCCTTCTGGGGGATGAGAATTTCAGCTTTCCTGCACCTCCCTTTCTCCTCCCCAGCTCCCAGCAGAGCTGAATCCGTGTTCACTGTTGCCGTGAGGAAGGCTGGAGGTGTTATTCATTGCTGGGCCAAGTGGGTCACTATGATTACAACCGAGGGCACGTGTTGTGTGCCCAGTATTTACAGATGAAATGACCGTGTCTGGGATTTGCTTGACAATAATCTTGGCGGAGGGGTAGGTCAGGATATGGGTCAAACCAAATTGACCGTGTGGGTTGATAGTTGTTGAAGGTGGGTGATGGATTCATGAGGGTTTATCATAGCATTCTCTTTTTGCATTTGTGTGACATCTTCTATAATAATATTTTAATAGTTATTTTAGGGAGACCCTCTGTGTTTTAAACCCTCAGTCTTTAGATGTCTGGAAAAATTGCTTCTTGGTCCTCACTTTGGAATGTAATTTACCCAAGTTTTGAACATTAACTGCAGCCCACCCATTTTACACCACAACTCAGCATGCACGCACTACGTTTCATCCATTCTATCGTGACTCCTTTGTGACATTTTGGTGTCTGTGAAATCAGGATGTGTCTTACAAACGATGGCATCTTAGACTTGATGAACTATGGCGTACGACAAAACTTCACGTGGGCTGCAGCTTCTCTGCTGCTCCTCCCACTGACAGGTGGGGTCTCATCCCCTGCAGCCTGGCCGGCCTCAGTGACTTGGTTGACCAAATGAATGTGGCAGATGTGATGTTTGGGGACCCCTGAAGTCAGGTCATCAGAAGCCTTGCAGCTTCCACCTGAGCTCTGTGGGAACTCCTTCTCTGAAAGGAGTCAGCTGCCAAGTAAGACCAGCCACCCTGAGAGCGCCATGCTGTAAGGAAGCCCGAGGTACCCACGTAGAGAGATGGTGTTGAGCGAGACCCCCAGATGTTGCCGCCCTCCCATGGTAGGTGCCAAACATGTAAGTGAAGAAGCCTATCTGGACAGTCCAGTCCCTGCAGACACGACAGGGAGGAGAAAGGGGAAACCCACCCGACAGGCAGAACCAAGGCCCTAGATGTGTGGCCCAGTCAGGTCATCCCAGCTGCGGCCAACCATTCGAGACACCTGGTTGGGGCTCCACTGGAAGCAAACAAACTGTCCAAACTTCTGACCCCTCCAGTTGTCAGCTCAATGGTGCAGACATTGAGGACAATGGTGCTGGTTTTTCACTTCTAACATTTGGCGTGGTTTATTACACAGCAATAGATACTTGGAACTCTTCCGTGTGACATGCACTTTTATATTTTCTCTTCTTTTTTTTTTTAATGGTGTTTTCCCCCCAGAAAATTGATTTCACAATCCACTAAAAGATCACCATCTGTTACGTTTTCTTATCTGTTGCTATGCAGAAATCCACCCCAAAACTTAGTGGTGAAAAACAACGATTTATTGTTTCTCTCAATTTGGCGGGTTCGCAATCTGGGTGACTCTTCTGCGGGTCTTTGCTGGAATCGCTGGTGTGATGGCATTTGCCTGACGGCTCCACTGGGGCTGGAGGGTCCGGGAGGGCCTCAGTCAAGTTCCTGGCCGGTAGTGCTGGCTGTGGGCTGGGCGCCTCTCTTCCCTTTCCTGTGGCCTCTCTCGTATTCCTTAGGCTAGACTGGCTTCTTCACAGCAGTGTCAGCTCAGCTTCCAAGAGGAAGGTCAGAAGCTGCGAGGCATCTTAAGGGCTAGACCCCCGAACTCACACCATGTCATTTCTGTGACATTTTATTGATCAGAGGAGGTCACAAGGCCGGCCCAGATTCGAGTCTGGAGAAACAGACCCCATTCATCTCTTGATGGGAGGAGCAGCCGTGTCACTGCTATGGACTGAGTGTGGACCCGCCAAAATCCGTATGTTGGAACCTAATCCCCAATGTGTTGGTGTTGGGAGGTGGGTGGAGACCTCATAAGTGGGATTAGCATTCTTATGAAAGAGACCCCAGACAGCTCCCTCACCCTCCCACCGTGCGAGGACACAGAGAGAAGTTGGCCGTCCGTGAGCCAGGAAGCCAGCGCTCATCAGACACTTAATCTGCCAACACTGCCAACACCTTGATCTTGGACTTCAGTCGCTAGAACTGTGACGGATTTCTGTTGTTTATCAGTTTCTCAGTGTATAGTATTCCGTTATAGGAGCCCAAATTGACCAGGACAGTCGCTTGGCAAAGAGATGTGGACACGGAAGCATGGTTCTTTGAAGGCTGTAGCAGACAGGTCAGGTGGCCACAACAGCAGAACACAGACTGGGTGACTTAAACAACAGACGTGTATTTCCTCTCAGTCCTGGAGGCTAAAAATTCCAAGATCGAGGTGTCGACCGGGTGAGTTTCTCCTGAGGCCCCTCTCCTCGGCGTGTAGATGCCGTCTTCTCCGTGTCCTCACCTGGCCTTCCCTCTGTGAGTCCACACCCCTGGTGTGTCCAATCGTGTCAGATCAGGGCCTCACCCGTATGACCTAATTTAACCATAATTACCTCTGTAAAAGCCCTGTCTCCAAAAACAGTCACATTCTGGGGGTTAGGGACACAATTCAGTCCCTATAATAATGGCCATTATTGTAACATTGGAAACGCTGTTTATCACTTCCCAGGTGGACAGTTATTTTCTCTCAACACACTAAAGATGGTGGTCCATCGTCCTCCAACATCCACCGGGCAGAGGGCAAGTCTGTAGCGGGGCTCATTGTCTGTCTTTTGCAAACCACCCGCCCTCTCGTTCTGGTACCTTTTACGCCTCTCCTACTTATTCCTGAGAGCTTGCAGTTTTACCATAATGCTTCTAGGTGTATGTTTTATTTGTATTTATCATCCTGGGAATCGGAGAGCGCTTTGAGTTGGTTTGCATCCTCTCATCTTTCTTTGATCACAGAAATTTCACATCTACAATTTCCCGTGATCACTTCACCATTCTTTCCTTCTGTGCTTTCGGAACACCTGTTAATGGCGCCTGGAGCGGCTCCGTTGGTCTTCCATGTGACTTCTATGCTCTATCTCATTTTTCATTGCTTTGGATGTGTTGTTTATTCTGTTCTTCCTGACTAATGACTTCCAAATGGCGAAATTTCCCCTTGACCATGTCAATCTCGAGTTAACCTCATCTATTGAGCTTTTCATTTGAATAACCACATTTTTCGTGTTGTATTGGTCAGCCCCGGCTGCCATCACAAAATACAATAGAGCGGAGGGCTTACTCCACAGGAATTTATTTCTCACAGTTCTAGAGGCTGCGAAGTCCAAGACCAAGGTGCTGGCTGATTGGGTTCCCTGCTGAGGGCTCTCTTCCTGGCTGGTGGACGGCTGCCTTCTTGCTGTCTTTTCACATGACGGAGGGAGAGAGTAAGCAAGCTCTCTGGTGTCTGCTCTTACAAGGACACTAATCCCATGATGAAGGCCCCATTGTTATGACCTCACCTAACCCTGATTACCTCCCAAAGGCCTCATTTCTAAATACCTTCACATGGTGGGGGGGTGGGGGGGGCGAGGAGCGGGTTAAGGTTTCAACATATAGATTGGTGGTGGTGGGGACACACAATTCAGTCCATAGCACATGTGTCAGATTTTAATAATTTTTTATAACTGCTTGTTTTTGTTTCTTTTCTCCTCCTCCTTGCCCCCACCAAAGCCCCCGAGTACATAGTTGTATATTCTCATTGTGGGTCCTTCTGGTTGTGCCGTGTGGGCCACCGCCTCAGCATGCCCTGATGAGCGGTGCCGCGTCAGCACCCAGGATCTGAATGGTGACACCCTGGGCCACCGAAGCAGAGCTCACGAACTTAACTACTCGGCCCTGGGGTCGGCCCCTGTTTTTGTTTCTTAATTTTTGAGCTTATTTTATGAATGTTGTTTCTTCTTCTCAGTTTGAAACCCTAAACAGACATACTTATGGTCTTCTACAGTAGAAAACTTAACTTTAATAATTCACGTTCTCATTGTTCACTGTATTGACATTTTTATTTAATATTTGTTTTTACAATTTGCTTTGGGACTTACATTGTAGGTTCATTTTAAGTGGGAAGTGTTTCTTAAAATATTTTTTACTTTATTTTTTTAAAAAATATTTTATTTTTTTCCTTTTTCTCCCCAAAGACCCCCCCAGTGCATAGTTGTATATTCTTCGTTGTGGGTCCTTCTAGTTGTGGCATGTGGGACGCTGCCTCAGCGTGGTTTGATGAGCAGTGCCATGTCCACGCCCAGGATTCGAACCAACGAAACGCTGGGCCGCCTGCAGCGGAGCACGCGAACTTAACCACTCAGCCACAGGGCCAGCCCCTACTTTATTTTTTTTAATTGAGGCAACATTGGTTTATAACAAGTGGGAAGTGTTTTGTTTTGCTTTTTCTCTTCCTCCCTCGGTGTGGGGCCCTGCCCGTCTTCCTGTTCTGCACTCGCCTCCAAGCTCTCTGTATTAAGGTGGGCCAGACACCTGTAACAAATTGACTGCGCATATCATGTCTTAAACACAGGATTTCATTTCTATCTCGTGCAACAGGCCAGGGTGTATGTTCTCAATGTCTCTTGTATCTACTCGCTTCTCTCCCTCTTACCCGCCACCACCAGTCTGCCTGAACTGGTGTCCGAGCTCCTGCCTGGCCCTCTTCCCATCCGTTCTCCACACAGCTGTTAGAGGGATTTCACTAGCATGCAAACTGCATGATGTCTCTTCTCTGTTTAACTTCCTCCAAGGACTTCCCATTTCTTTTAGAATAAAGACCAAGGTCCTTACTGTGCCCTTCCAACCTGTCCGTGACCCGGCCCCATCCCACCCCACTTCCCTGCTTCATCCCCACACTTCGGCTACACTGAACTGCCTTCCATTCCTCTGTGGCAAGACCTTTCTGACGCCAGGGCCTCTGCACGTGCTGTTTTCTCACCTGGAAAATTCTTCGCTCCTTACCTGGTTTACTTCTATTTGGCCTTCAGATCTCGGCACAAAGGTTAATTGCTCAAAGAAACCTTGTCTGATCTCTTGGATGACTTCATGTCCCACCTTTTCCCCAGTATAATTTCATGACACCTTTGACTTCTTTCTCACAGCATTTATCTTTTTTCCTAATTATCTATCTATGTGATTAACGCCTGATTCCCCTTCTAGGCTGGAAGGTTCCTGAAGGCAAGGGCTGTGTTTATTCTGCTGACCTTCTATCTCTGATGCATACCTGACCTTCTCTGGATGGACAGAAGAATGGATGATGAATGGATGGATGATGGATAGATGGATGGTGGGGTGGGTAAATGGAGGGTGGATGGGTGGATAGAGAAGATGGATGATGGATGGATGGATGTGTGGGTGATGGATGGATAGAAGGATGGGTGGATGAATGGAGGCTGGGTGGACAGATGGATGACGGATGGATGGGCAGATAGAATGGAGGGTGGATGGAAGAAAAGGGATGATGGATGGATGGATGCTGAATGAATGGATGGATGATGGATGGATGAATAGAGAACGGATGGACAGATAGATGTATGGGTGATGGATGGATGGATGGATGGATGGAGGGGTGGCTCGTCCCTCCAGCTGACCGGCCGTCACAGTCACCTCTTGTGAGTCCTCAGGGCTCATGTACTGGGCACTGACCCCCAGGCCTGGCTCATTTTCCCTTTCTCACCCCGGGCAGAGTTGTCAATCCTCGAGTCCCACCTGGGATCGTCTGCATCTGAGCACACTCTCGTGCGCACACGGTGGGCGCTCCGTACATTGACTCTGCGTGTAGGAACAGACTGTTTCCAGGCACGCTTTGCAGGCTGGCACCCCGGCGGAGCTCGGCCTGCGCTGCCCGCGCACGCGCGCGAGGGAGGCGGCCGGGCGAGGGGCGGGACGTGCCGGGGGAGGGGCGGGGCCTTGCCGGGCCCCGGATGAGGCCCCGCCCCCGCCCGCGGAACCGGAAGTGGAGCCGGGCGCCTGGGAGCGGCGGGCGCGGAGGGGCCGGGGCTGGAGCAGGAGCCGAGTGGGGCCGGACCGACCCAGGCGGCGGTGAGCGAGCGCGGCTTCCGCCGGGCGGGGGATCCGGCCCCTCCTCGGCGCTCCTGGGGCGCCCCCGGGCCCCGAAAAGGGAAGGAAGCGGCGGCCGCAGCGGTCTAGCCGCTCTTCCGCTCGCGGTTTCGGGTCGGCCGCGGGGGGAGCGCGGGCGAGGCTTCCCCAGGCGGGGGAGCCGGGGCCGGGGGCCGAGGGGTGGGGGCCGGGGGGCCGCGGGGTGAGGGGCGGGGCGCCGAGCGGTGGGGAGGGCCTGGTGTCGGGGAGGAAGGGGCAGTTCTGAGGTTTAGGGGTCCGAAGGGGAGGGGCCGGGGCTGCAGGGAGGAAGGGGAGGAGAGGGCCAGACGGGGAGGGGGTCTGGGGTCTGAGAGGGTGCCCGGGACCCGGGGGCTAGGAGAAGAGAGAGTGGAGGGGCCGAGGGTCGGAGGGGGGCGAGGTGGAGAGAGGCCATGCTGGGAGGGGTGGGATCCGGGGGAGGGGCTCAGGGCCCAGGGTTTAGGGGAGGGGGTGGAGGGCCGAGGGGAGGGGCTGGGGTCAAGCGGGCGAGGTAGGAGAGGGGCCCTGCGGGGAGGGGTCCGGGATCGGGGCGGGGTCAGGGCCCTGGGTTTAGGGGAAGGGGTGGAGGGCCGAAGCTGGGCGGGCAGGTGGCGCTGGGAGGGTCGGGATCCGAGTCGCGGGGACGGGAGTGCAGGTAGGAGGCCCTGCGGGTCCACGGACTCGGCTGGGAGGGGAAGGGGTGGAGGGCCGACGGGGAGGGTTGGGTCAAGCGGGGCGAGGTGGAGTGGGGCCCTGCGGGGAAGGACCGAGAGGGGCCGGGGTCTCCCTGGCGCCCGGGCGGGCCCGTCGCAGCCGCGGCTCCTGCGGCCCGGCCCGCACCTACAGGGAGGTTTAGCAATCAGGTCACTGGAAATGCAGCGACACGCGCAGCTGCAGACGGCCGAGAGGCTCTAAATTTGGAGCCATCCCTCTTCTGGGTGTGTTGGAAATCACCAGAATGGTGCTTCTGGGTTTTTGGTTCTTCTGTTTGGATCGCCTGACTGTTGCACCAGGAGCTCGATCTCCGCGGGCGGCCTCCCTGGAGCGGGTGCGGGGCTTCCTCCGCCTGCGGTCTGTGGACGTGTCGGGCCTGGGGGCGGGGGTGGGATGGGGGGGTTCCGTTTCCCGCTGATCGCAGCGCTGGCGGCATCCCCAGTGAGCGCGCCCTCCCCGGGCGCTCCGCTTGGCGCGGGGCTGCCTGGGCCCCGCGGCGCTCTGCCTGGCTAATCCCCCAGGCCCTGACCGCGGGATTCAGCCGGGCGCCGGCTGGCGAGGGCTGAGATCCCAGGGCTGTGGGTCGGTGGGCCCCCCTGCCCGTGGCTGAGCGCGGCTGAGCCCCTGGCGCAGTCCTGACTCTCCTCTGGTTGGAAAAGTGCTCCCAGATGCTCAGGGAGCCGGGCAGAGTCCTAGAGGCAACTTTCAGACCCGCTGGAAGAAGGAGCCAAGGGGATGCAGAGTTGGTTTTGATCCTCTGCCCCCCAGGAACTGGAAGTTACCCCCACCCGGTTCCCGCCCCACAGCTGACTTGTAGTGGAAGCATCTTGTTAGACTTATTCTTTAAACACTTTTGAGTGTATGTAAGTGGTGATTCAGACCTTTGCTCGCTGCCATGCAGTCGGTGCTCAGAAAGCGCATGGCTGAGTGAGTGAGTCATTGTGAGCGCTGGGAACTGCCTGGTGTTGCAATCTGCCAACGTCCTGGGGCCGCCGGCCACTGTGTCCCCTCAGAGCTCTTGTCTTTCCCCTTGGTCAGTGTGCAAGCAAGTGCTTTGAGTAAGCTGTGAGCCCGTGCGCCCCGAGCCGGGGGCAGGGGTTTCCCGTGAGCCACTGTGTGGGGAGTGGGCTTTTGCTGTCTGTTTTGGCTGCTCTGATGCCTTTTTGTTCTCTTTGGAAAGATAATTGTGTGTGGGTGGTTTTATTGTTTCAAACTGTCTCCCACAGAGGGGTTTTCCACTCTGCTTTTATGGGAGTGCAGGATTCCTTCACACTTGTGTGTTGACTTGCAGGGCAGGTCCACCATTTGTGGTGCTGAATGGGCCATTATCTTTTCTTTGAACCGTATCTTTTGGTAACGGCCATATTGAGATCTAATTCGCATGGCATCCAGTTCACCCATTTAAAGGGTACAGTTCGGTAGTTTTTAGTGTATTCAGCCATTTAGTGTACAACCTTCACAATCAGTTTTAGATTAATTTCATCACCTCGAAAAGAAACTCTGTGACCCCTTCCTGCGAAGCTCTCCCCCCGGCACTAGGCCACCGCTGGTCTACTTTTCCTCTCGATAGGTTTGCGGGTTGTGGACATTTCCTGTAAATGGACTGTGTGGCCTATGGTCTTTTGTGTCTGGCTTCTTTCACCTAGCGTAATGTTTTCAAGAGGCCTCCAGATTGCGTCGCGTCCGGACTTCACTCCTTTTCATTGCCGAATAATCTTCCGTTGTGTGTAGGCCACGTTCTCTCTCTATTACATAATATGGACGTTTGGGCGCTTTTCACTTTTTGGCTGTTATGAATCGGCCCGCTGTGAACGCTCTTCTGCAAGTTTCTGTGTGGATGTGAGTTTTCGTTTCTCTTGGGCGTGTACCCAGGAGTGGAATCGCTCCGTCCTGTGGTGACTCTTAATCTTTTGAGGAACTGCCAGACTGCTTTTCACTTCACATTCCCACCAGCAATATCAGAAGGTTCTGATTTCTCCAAACCCTCTCCGGACTTGTTGTTGTCTGGCTGTTGGTGGTATCTCGTTGTGGTTTTGATTTTCACTTCCTTGATGGTCAATGATACTGAGTTTCTTTCTTTTTTTGAATGTTGGCCCTGAGCTAACATCTGTTGCCAATCTTCCCTTGTGTTTTCTTCTTCTCCCCAAAGCCCCCCAGTACATAGTTGTATATTCCAGTTGTGGGTCCCTCTGGCTCTGCTATGTGCGACGCCGCCTCAGCGTGGCCTGACGAGCAGTGCTGGGTCTGCACCCAGGATCCCAGCTGGTGAAACCCTGGGTCGCCGAAACGGAGCACGCGAACTTAACCACTCGGCCGGGGTCGGCCCCAATGCTGAATTTCTTTACAGGAGCTTCTTACCCGTTTGAATATCTTTTTTGGAGAAATGTCTATTCAGATCCTTCGCCCCTTTTACAATGTAGTTATTGGTCCTTTTTATTATTGAGTTGTAAAAATTCTTTATATGTTCTGGATGTATGATTTGAAAATAGTTTCTCTCATTCTGTGAATTGTCTTTCTTTGAAGCTGAAGGTTTTAATTTTGTCTGGCTTTTCTATTTTTTTTCTCTTCTTCCTTATGCCTTTGGTGTCACATCTAAGAACCATCGCCAAATTCAAGGTTAGGAAAATGAATGCCTATGTTTTCTATGTTTCTATACCTGTATTTTTTTCTAGAGGCGAACAGTTTTAGCTCAGAACTTTACGTCTGCGATCCATTTTTGAGTTAATTTTCTGTATGGTGTGAGGTGGGGGTGCAGAGGCATTAGCTTTGGATCCAAAAAATGTATATGGAAGCTTTTAGTTTTTCACAGTTATTTTTGTGATGCTCTTTTAATTTAAAATATTGAGGGGGGAATAAATTATTGTAGATTTGAGCCTATCTCTAGCTGCCCTCGGGCAGATTTTTGTAGGTGCCTGCTGAGTACGGTAGTAATTGCAGTTCCCGGAATGTGCTAAGCAAGCCACAGAAGTTAGGATTTCCAGAAGGGCCTGGGGAGAGAGAGGGAGTAAAGAGTAGGGTGAGGAATGAGAGAGGAAACTGAGCACAGACAGCCCCGACTTATGATGGTTCGACTTACCATTGTTCTTGTGATGGTGCGAAAGCAATAAGCGTTCACTGGAAACCGTCCTTCGAATTTCGGTCTTTTTCCAGGACTAGCAAGATACGGGGTGAAATCCTCTCAGTGCAGGATCCACAGCTCCCAGTCAGCCCCACGCTCACGAGGGTACACAGCCGATCCGCTGACGGCCATCCTGTTTGTCACTGTCAGTACAATAGTCAGTGAATTACGTGAGATATTCAGCTTTCAGAATGGCTTTGTGTAGATGATTTTGCCCAGCTGTAGGCTCGTGTAAGTGTTGTCGGCACATTTAAGGCAGGCTAGGCTGAGCTAGGATGTTCCATAGGTCAGGTGTCTTCAGTGCGTTTTCGACTTTGGATGTTTTCAACTTACAGTGGGTTTACCCGGCTGTAACCCCGCCGTCAGTCAAGGCAGAGGTGCATTGGGAAGCCTAGCAGAGCATTCTCCCTGGAGCTCCTGATGCGTGACACGCTGCCAGCTGGTCCTGGCTCGTGCCCGTGACTGGCTTGCTCCTAGTGGGAGGGGCGCATCGTTCCTCTGCTCTGGGTGCCCAGCAGTGGGGGACCTTCCAGGCTGTTGATAGCCTTAGGGGGAGGGTGGGGAGCCGGTGGCTTGGGGAGTCGGAGTCTTGACCTCCTACAGTGATGGGCTCTGTTGGTTAGAAATGCAGCCTGCCTTTCCCTTGCTCCCTGAGTCGCCCCCTTCCCTTCCCCTTAGCTGTCGGTGTGCTGGTTTTTCTCCCAGCCGCAGCGTGATCCCTTCAGGGAGGATTTTTCTTATATTATTTTTTTAAAAACTCACAGTGAGAGAATTTTATTTTTTTAGCAGTATTTTAAATTAGAATGAACAAAAAATGGAAACCTATTAGGATTATGGCAAACAGAAAATGTCTACTAGCCATCAAGGCACTCGTGTCTGTTGGTATTAAGAAGAAACTTCATACAGTTATAAATCTTTAGAAACTTCTTCCAGTGGTTTCTCCACGTGTCTGAAAATCGGTTGAGGTTTGCGGTTAGTAAAATGTGAGTCTTCCCATCCTCCTCTCAGCTTTCTTCACAAAACCCTGTTCCATTCGGGAGGGTTTCAGAGGTATTCGAGAAGGCCGTCCAGTGGAGGGGTTTGCCCAGAGCGCCTGTCAGCAGACATGCTGAGCCTTTTACCTTTGATCTTTTTGCAGACGGAACCCCTCCCAAATGCCTGGGGACTCCTCCTTGGATTACTGGGTTTGAAACAGAATTTTGTGAACGGCCTTTTACCTTCGACCGGGAGGAAAGGTTTGTGCCTTGTGGACGTTCTGTGCTCTCTCCCCGGGACCAGCAGGGTGACTCCTTTGTCAGGGACGGGGAGGGAGCGTCTTCCCGCTGGGCTCACAGGAACGGGGCCAGTAACTTTCTGGGAGGAAATTTCCTTGTTTAAAAGATGAAGTCAAGTGTCCAGGGTTGCCTGTGGTTTAGAAGGAGGAGGGGGTTCCAGAAAACTCCGGAGTGGACGGGCAGGAAGGATGCCCATCCCCCGGGGGCCGTCTGGCCTCTCCTCCCTGGCCTGTGGCAGGTGGGAGGAGCCACGAGGCAGATGTCTTGGAGGGCACGCATGTGCTCATCCTGCCTGCCAGGGAAGCTGGCTTCCAGAAAGATGGGTGAAGATTGGGCTCGGCTCCTGTTTTCCTGATGACTCTGCAAAAGTACCAGCAAAGACAGCTGCTCTGACGGGTGCCTTGGGGGCAAGGCCCTGCGCAGAGGCCCTGTCCTTTTGTGTATCCGCAGTGGGTGGAGCTGCGGGCATCTAGGACAGTGTGGTGTCACGGGGCACATTTGACTTGGGGAGGCAGAGACTGTGGGCAGATCATTTAACTTCCGGGTTACGCTGTTTGTTCATCTGGGAATGGGCGCGTTGGGACGAGACTATCTGGCCGTGCCTCCCACGGCTGAGGTTTTCATCTGTTTGCTCTCTAAAGTCGTGTCAGTAGCAGATTACATCTGGGGAATTCTTGCCATGCTTCGGGACAGAGGGGGATGAGGTTCGAGGTGGCCTCGAAGGGGCGTTGTTGGTCCCTGCCCAGGAGACGGCGGCAGGAGTTGCCTCTGGAAGTTTGAGGGTGCTGTGCCCTGATTCCCCCTCGTTGCCGCCTGGAACCTGGACCGGAGAGCTGCAGGGCTGATCTAGACGGGCGATCCTCGGGCTGGCGAAGGGCTCGTGTCCTGCCCTAATTCAGGCCGCACGAGCACCCGCGTGCGCCGTGGAAGCCAGAAGGCATGAGTTGGTGTGCTCAGCTCAGACTCCTGGATGGAGCTTCTGGTTGATTGAATTAAAATGATCTTTCGCTTGCTTCCTGGCCTATGGGAAGTTTTATGGGTACTTCTGTGGAAAATGCATCAGTTCTTCTCATACGTGGTTTTCCTTGAAACCCGTAAAGCTTAGATTTTACCTTTGCAGTTAACAAAAAGAAGTATCTGGTTCAAGTCTGCAGCTGTCTCCGTGTTCTCTTCTGGATAAAACCTTATAGGCTTAAAGTGCCGAGGAAGAGAGCAGACAGCCCCTCCTCGGTGCCCCTGGCTCAGGAACCCTGGGCGTTAAATACTGTGTGTTTCCCCAGGTAGATGGGAAAGCAGCCCTCTGATAAATTACTGGAAGCGTTTAGTGAACCGTCAGAGTCTGAGTTAAGAAAATCACTGTTACATTTCCAGCAAGTCCTTGAAGTCAAAATGGGTACTCTTTTTTTTTTTTTTTTTTTTCAAATTGTGATACAATACATGTGACACAAAATTCACCATTGGCGACATTTAGTCCATTCTCAATGTCGGGCAGCCCAGAAGGGGTGCTTATTTGTCTGGACGGCACCGTTGTCATAAGACTTAGTGGGTTAGGGCTGTGTTCCCAGTGAGTGAGGTAAGTGCACACGTGACTTTCTTATTTTCCAGAAGCCTTGCTCCCTTGACTTGAAGCCAGAGTATTCCTGGTGTGTTTCGGAGGCTGTCTGACAGCAGCGTCAGACTGGAACGTTCCATCCTTTGTTCCTCTGCTGTCCTGCCCGCTCAGGGCTGCGAGGGGCCGGCTGAGTGCGCAGCTCCCCGCCTCCCCGGGCTGGCTTAGAGTGCCGTGTGGTTTTGTGGTCAGAGAGCTGCTCTGGGGCCTGCGAACGGCTCTGCCAGGTCTCCTAACCCTGCACTGCTCTTCCAGATGTGGAAAGCTTCAGCCGGCCACGCTGTGTCCCTCAGCCAGGACGATGGGGGAGCCGACGACTGGGAAACCGACCCCGATTTTGTGGTATGACTCTCCGCCTACCTGGGTTGCTTTTCCTGACAGTGTCGCCCTGACCTGTTGTGTGTTTTATAGCCCAGGGTGTGGGCTTCACCCCTCCTTTCTTTTTCTTTTCAGAATGATGTCAGCGAAAAAGAGCAAAGATGGGGGGCCAAAACCGTGCAGGGGTCTGGGCACCAGGAGCACATCAAGTAAGAGCCTTTCTCAATATGGGTGTGAAATGGTGTTCCGAAAGCCGAAGGGGGAGAGGGGATGGGGACACGGACCTGTGTCAGCGGGGGACACCTTCCTGTTGGCATTGCGTTTGTTCTGTCTCGTGACGTGGTGTTTATGGTGGGTAAATGTAAGACACGTGTATCGATTTACGTGTGTGTTTGTGTGGGCGTGCATACACACATGCTCAGTAACTTACAACTCCCATTGCAAGTGGTTTCGTACGTATGGTTCCAGGGAGCCTGCTTTCGGATTGTGGTCCTCACCGAGGCACAGGCCACCTGGCTTTGCTTTCTGCAAGTGGAGTGTCACGCACGAGAGCTCTGATGCCTTAGACCCCAGACACCCCCTCCATAGTCTCTCTCATTTTGTTATAACTTTGTTACTTTATCATTGTCTCTTGGGTACTGTGAGCTGAATTCCAAGCATTGTGTTTTCATAAAAGCTGAAAACAGGAGAAGTGAGAGAAGCGTGTCGCTGCCTCTGCCTTGGTGCTCTCTGAAACCGCCTCTGGGGCAGTTGGTTTGCTTGTCAGGAAGTGTATAAAGGAACTTTTAAAGTATGCTCAGGCTTTCCTTTAGGCTGCGCTGGCTTTGGCGTGTGCCCTCCCATTTCCCTAGTTGTGACAGTGTCATCCCTGCCCAGGTGCCTGTTCCGGCCATTTGCAGAGGCCTCTTCTATCTTGGCCCGGTGTCTTTGCAATAGAGTGCAGCTCTGCAGCTGAGGGAGCTTCAGTAGATCCTGCAGAAAGGAAGACGGCGTCTGCAGTGTGGGTGTTTAGACACGAGCGCGTCCTCCCTGACTCGCTGAGCCCACACCCTGCACCGATGCCACTCGGCAAGGGCCCTGGGGCTGGCTGGAGAGGACCTTGAGCTGGGAACTGACTCGGGTCTGGCGCAGTCCCGGCTTGTTGCTGCGGGGTCAGGCTGACTCCTGAACCTCTAAGGTGCCCATTTCTCTTCTCGTCTCCTGCCCCCTGTGGCTTGGAGACATGGTCAGGAGGGCGGACAGAGAAGAAGCGGACTCTGGTGCATCAGCCTCTGGGTTGGCTAGAATTGAGAGAGAGCCTTGGGGAGTAGGGCTGATCTTGGTGCCTGTGACCCTCCAGGTGTGTCAGGGTAGGGTCCTCCTTCCCCTGCTCATGGTGGGGTGGGTGGTGTCCAAGCCTGGTTTGGTTTTTAGCCACACTTCCGGGACTCTTGTGCTGGTGTTGAAGCTGTGGCCATGGTGTCCCCTGGGCAGAAAGTTCCCATGCGGGGTGGCCTCCATGCCGCTCCGGGGTCTCCTGATGGTGACAGCTGCAGAGGCTTCCTGGATGCCGGGTTTTGACCACATCTTGTGATCTGTTTCACTCTCCCTGGTGTTGAAAGTAAAAATGGCTTTGAGGTTGTAAATTCTGAGTCTTTCATTTCACCTTTGAATGTATGAAAAGCTGGAGTCCCTCGACTAAAGAGAAGCCGTCTCAGCATTTTGCATCACTGGGCTTGGGCCGGTGCCCTCGGGACATCTAGGGTGAGGGACTGTTGACTTGGTTTCCCCTCTGCCTCGGGGTGACGTTTACAGAACCAGCTCTCTGCGCTCAGTAGCTAATGGAGTGGAGAGGGTTTTCTGTGTGTGAGATAAAGACAGTTCACGTTTCAGGACAGTGACTTCCGGGGTTTTGGGGTGACTCCCTGCGCACACTCACATGGCTCTGGGGTCGGCAGGAGTAGACGGCCTGCCGGCAGAGTGCTGAGGAGCACACAGCCGAGGCAGGAGCCTGGGAGGCACCACGTCCGAGCCCTGCGGATTTGCACAGATAGCGTCACCTGTCCTCATTTATCCTCCTGGACGTCAGGGACGCACAGCTGTGTCACCGATTTGTTCCTCTTTTGTCCCTTCCCTTCCAGCATTCACAAGCTGAGAGAGAATGTTTTTCAAGAACACCAGACCCTCAAGGAGAAAGAGCTTGAAACGGGGCCAAGAGCCTCCCACGGTTATGGAGGGAAGTTTGGCGTGGAGCAGGACAGGATGGACAAGGTGAGTGCACGGGCTGCAGGGCCGTGGGCCTGGCGGCTGTGACCCTGCACGTGGCTGGCAGAGAAGGCACTCAAACCTCCTCCTCAGATTAAAAGTTTTGAGTCAATTTGTTGAGGATGAGACTTGCCCAAAGTAGTCCTCTCCCGATTGACCCTACTGGTAAAATGCTCTCGCCTTTTAGAAACTCTTTTACGATTCTCAGAATTGCTGGAGAATGGGTGATGTGTAGGGGGACCCGCAGGCCAGCTCTGTGACCAGGACAGAAGTCCAGAAGCATCTTGACCAGATGTGTCGTCACCACTGCCCGCCATTCAACGTGTAGCCAGTTGTGTCAGTCTGCAGACCAGAGTCCAACCTGGGCCCCACTTCCATAACACGGGTGAAAATTCGGCCAGCGTGTGTGCTGCTTTCCTTCGTGCATTCAGTGACCTTCAGAGAGTAGACAGGCCCTCGGTGTAAAGTCACGCCCACCAGGCTGGGGAGCACTCGCTCTGTCTAAGGGCTACGGGTGGGCCTCTTGTGAGCCATCTCCGATAGAATTGAGATGTCCAGGGGCCGGCCCTGTGGCCGAGTGGTTAAGTTCGCGCACTCCGCTTCAGCAGCCAAGGGTTTCGCCAGTTCGGATCCTGGGCGCGGACATGGCACTGCTCATCAGGCCACGCTGAGGCAGTGTCCCACGTGCCACAACAAGAAGGACCCACAATGAAAATATACAACTATGTACTGGGGGGATTTGGGGAGAAAATAACAGAAAAATAATAATAATGAAAAAAAAGATTGGCAACAGTTGTTAGCTCAGGTGCCAATCTTTAAAAAAAAAAAAGAGAATTTAGATGTCTAAGTCCACGGTGATGGAGGGTGTTGACTGACTGTGTCAGCCGTTGACAGTACTTCAGGCCTCCCCTACCCTGAGAGAAGGGGCGTGGATCAGCTCCGGACGGCCGATTCCTCCCCGGAGAGAAGACAGAGTAGATGGCGGGGTGTTTGTGGGCTCCTCCAGGCAGGCAGGTCTTGACAGACACTGCAGACGTCCGCATGGAGGTGCGTTTCCCAGGCTGAGTCGTGCTAGGTGGTTCTGACCTCACAGATGTTTGCCTTTATTCTGCATCGGAGGAAGAGCGTCAGCTGGTGTTGGGTTCTGGTCTGTAATGCCACACCCGTTCGCCTGGTGCACGGATCGGAATCGGCGTCTGAGCTGGGCACCCCGAACCGGGTCTGAAATTAGCCTGGAGCTGGAGTCGGACAAAGAGCAAGCTGCAGGAAAGCGACAGGGTGTTTCCCAGCGTGCCGGCGTCGTTCCCGAGACATCTTGACGGGGCAAGTGGGAGCACAGTCATCTTTGGATTCTAACAAAGTCTGTGGCTTTTGGTAGTGCAGAGAGACAGATAGACAGACAGACAGGAGCCCGCTGTGTTCAGGGCAGTGGGGGGATCGAGTGGCTAGAAGCTCTCCCACCCCCAGCAAAGCCTGTGCTCAGGACCTTGGGGAGCTAAAGCAAGGAGAAGTTCATTATGAATCTGGGCCCCCAGCTCTGGGTTGGAGAAGTGACACATCGGGAAAATAACAAAACCGTGTCAAGGAAGAGCTTGATGACAAGACCCTTGTCATTTCTGGCTTCTCTGCTGCTGCGGGCCTGCCCCTTTCGCAGCCAGCCTCACTCCGCCTAGCCCCTGGTAATCAGGCCCTTCGAGTCCAAGAAGCTTCCCTCCTGAGCCCCTCCCACCCCGCCTGCCCACAGCTGCCCTCCCCCGGGCCTTCTCCCTGCCCTCCTCGGCTTCCGTCTGTCGTCATCGCTGCCACTGCCGTGGCCCGCTGTCCTTTCCTTGGAGGCTGTGCCTGTCCCGGCCCGGGAGGTCGCTCCGTGGGTGTCTCATGAGTGCCAGGCTGTGCTTCCCGGGCCGGTGCGTCAGCGGGACCTGGTGGCCCAGGGAAACGGGCTCGCCGCCCTTCAGCTGGGCATGGCGGGTGGTTGCCGTCAGAGGCGAGTCCAGCGGGTGCTGCTGCAGGCCCCGCTGCAGGCCCCGCGCCTCCCCGGTGCCTCTCTGCACCTTAGGGAAGGTCGCCCGTCAGCTCACGTGAGCATGATTGGACCCGTCTCCTATCGGAAATAACAGACTCCAAACCCAAACAAGTAGCCCTCAAGTCACTTGTAACGTGTCCTCTCCAGGAATTCAAACATCCCTGAGATCTCTGTGTTAAGAATGGAGGAATATGTGATAGAGACTTCCACAATGAAACACGTTTTGGGCAAGCACGTTTGCGACAAGAACGAGGACCCGGAAAGTGCGCCAGCCAAGGGGTCCCGTCTGTGCTGCTGTCTGAGCGCCGCGCGCCCTTCCTTCAGGGGAGCAGGTGGCCGTGGGGCATGCTGTGGCTTCATTCCTCATCTTGCCACGTCCTAAAGCCAGAGGGTGTGTCCAGGCCTCGGGACAGCCCTGCCTGGCGCCGACTGTCTAATAACAAACGTGATTTTCTCAATACCAGATCAAGGGCAGTTTTGGGAATAAATCTGTTTCGATCAAAAAGCTGGAAAACTTGCCAAGTTGTGACTCGGGCTTTATTTTCAGAACAGTGTCTTAAAACTTCTTTCTGATTGACTCGTGCTGGAGCACCTCTTGTGAGTCCTCAGGGCTCATGCACTGGGCACTGACCCCCAGGGCTGGCTCATTTTCCCTTTCTCACCCCGGGCAGAGTTGTCAATCCTCGAGTCCACCTGGGATCGTCTGCATCTGAGCACACTCTCGTGCGCACACGGTGGGCGCTCCGTACATTGACTCTGCGTGTAGGAACAGACAGTTTCCACGCGTGCTTTGCAGGCTCGCACCCCGGCGGAGCTCGGCCCGCGCTGCCCGCGCACGCGCGCGAGGGAGGCGGCCGGGCGAGGGGCGCGACGTGCCGGGGAGGGGCGGGGCCTCGTCGGGACCCGGATGAGGCCCCGCCCCCGCCCGAGGAACCGGAAGTGGAGCAGGGCGCCTGGGAGCGGCGGGCGCGAGCGGCAGGGGCCGGGGCCGGGGCCGGAGCCGGAGTCGGAGTCGAGTGGGTCCGGACGGAGCCAGGCGGCGGTGAGCGAGCGCGGCTTCCGCCGGGCGGGGGGGGCCGGCCCCTCCGCGGCGCTCCTGGGGCGCCCCCGGGCCCCGAAAAGGGAAGGAAGCGGCGGCCGCAGCGGTCTAGCCGCTCTTCCGCTCGCGGTTTCGGGTCGGCCGCGGGGGGAGCGCGGGCGAGGCTTCCCCAGGCGGGGGAGCCGGGGCCGGGGGCCGAGGGGTGGGGGCCGGGGGGCCGCGGGGTGAGGGGCGGGGCGCCGAGCGGTGGGGAGGGCCTGGTGTCGGGGAGGAAGGGGCAGTTCTGAGGTTTAGGGGTCCGAAGGAGAGGGGCCGGGGCTGCAGGGAGGAAA